TTGGGACTTCCCCGATCAAGGCCATTCAGAAGACTTTGGCGTGGATTGGAGGATAATATTAAAACGGAATTAGGGGGAAAAAGTTCGAGGAAGTGGAGTGGATTAACCTGGCTTACAATAGTACCGATGCCAACGTTCGGGTTCAATTCTTTTCTGACTGTGCCCAATGTAGTTAATTATGTGTTATTTTTATACCTTCCTCCATCTTATTTCTCTCCTCTTCACCTTTCGTTTTGTACATTTCTTTTTCGCTCTCCCCCCCCCCCCCCTTCTTTCTGAAATGCCGAGTCACAGAGGAATATGACGTCACGAAAGAATACTAATTTTCAAAATGTTAAAATAAAATTAACCAGCACGGAAAATATTTGCGCGTAAGATTAATCAAAGAGACTATTTGACAACTGAAGGTGGAACATGTCAACAAACTAACCCCTTTACTGATCGATTTATTGATTCTTAGGTCATTTTAACGATGTTGTGCCAACTTCGAAGGACACGGAATTGGGGGGGGGGGGGACTGTATCCCTCCGTCCGTCTGGAGTCGGAAAATCCACAAAATGGCTGTCAGGACAGACGAGATTCTGGAGCATTACCACTACGTTAGCCTGCTTTGTTTAACCCCGATGGTGATACATTATCGTAACGAATTAAAAGTCGAGGAAATACACAACGAGAAATATCGTGATGTATTTATTCCCTTGTTGTATTGACTGGCAGAAGTGTTGTCTTAATCACGTTCCCACCCCACCCCACCGTCCTGTCCAGTGGATGTATTTACGGCGCCACCAATCACAATTTATTAGTCTCTACGTCACGAGTATTGCCTACCCAGGTAACGGCGTCGCCCAGGGCGCGTGGTTCTTTGTCTTAACATTTGGTGCATGTGTTCGAAGAACTTAAAGGACGTGGATATTTTGTTCTGCGAATCTTCCTGTGTTGAACTTCGATTTGAGGGCAATCTGAGACTGGACGGACGAAGAGAGGAGGTAAAGAGTGATAAAAGTTGATAATAAGAATAAAACAGAAGTAGGCGGGAGGAGAATAATTATAATAATTGAACCAGAAGAGTGAAAGGAACGAGAAACAGATGTTCGAAGTCGATGTCTGTCCTCCCGATTGTCACAGAAGCACGGTCATCCGATGTGGAGCCGACACGCAAACCCACCTGCATTCTGGACAACGAATAAATGCCAAGGACGATTTAAAAATTCATCAATGTGACTCAGAGGAAAAGAATTAACTGCAAGTTCTGGTACAAACCACTGCACTGATACCGTCATCACAGTGTTCATACGTTCTTTTAACAAAAGTTCTTTTGTAAAGATATACAAAAGCAAATATGGGCCAAAATGGTACGCCTTTTACTACTGGACAAGCAAAAATTACCACAGAACTGTTTTCCCCGTCATAAATTATATTTATATATTTACGACAGTTTCGTAATGTAACCGTTGGGGCGATGATGTGACTGTATCAAATTACAGATCTCTAACCCACACGCCCATTTCAATGTTCTAGAAATACAGATCTTGAACTGAATGACGACCATTTTAATATTAAATGGCTGTCTATAACTTTGGCCATGAGAGCGGCAGGATACGTAACCATTCACGTGGAACCTGTTGGTAAGAGGTTCCAACTCAATGCCGAACAACTTATAAATCGGCGATGTCGAAAGAATCAACATTTAATACTAATCTGCAGGTGGACTTGTGTGATTTTCCTTCTGAGACAGGTGATCGGAAGGCAGCTACTGTTGGAGGTCTTTCCGAAAATAGCAGTGTGTCTTACAGTCGTGACTGAGCACTCACTGACGCTTGCCTGTTTCAGTATCCTAGACGGAGGAACTGACGAATTTCGGGAAAAAAATGCAGACTGTTCCGTCATTCTGACATGATTCAAGGGTTTAACTTAACCCTATGAAATTTTAAGTCGAACTTCGTCTAAAATAACATTTAAGAATCCAGTCCGTACCGCGAAGAAAACACAACTCTTCACCGTTACAGAGATCAACTGGTTAACGCTGTTTTAATTAAACCTTTGGTGCCGACGCTAGTCTAAATAATATATAATAATTCAATCCGTACCGCAAAGAAAACTCTTCTTAGATGTTGCGCCGTGGTGTCTTATAAAAGTTTACCCGACGTTTCATAGGTACTTGCTGCCTCCACCATCATGAACATCTCTGAAACGTCAGTCAATTTGCAAAAGACTACGCATCAGCGTCGTTTAATAAACCATAAAAAAACAGAAGGTGAATGTGAGTGTTAAGACATGACCGCGCAAAGTGGAGACCACTCCTACACAGCGAAGCCTAGTAACGTACTGAAATACTGGAGGCTTATTGAGCGTACGTGCGAATGCTAAAGGAACGAACCAGATAGAGCAGAGGTGGAGGGAGGAAGGTGGCAAGAATCAAGCGTGCTGGACCTCACCTGACCTTCGTGCTACTGACCTACATTTCCCGCAAAGTGCTACAAGAAGCCGACACAGATAACACGCGGGGGTTGCCCGCCCTCGTCAAGGCTGTCCCAAGGGTACCGAGCCCTCAGTCGTACACAGATGTTGCGTATTAATATACTTCTTTATTTTCACAGAATGAATTAAAATAACCCATTATGACTGACGGATTTGTATTAAATTTTGTGTGAAAGAAACTGTACGCAAAACTTTAAAATCATACTTTGAATGTAACAAATATCTGCTAACCATGCAAACTGATGTCGGAGAATATCGAAAATTAAGGACGTACGAAAAACAGAATTGAAGGAAGGCGATAAATAATGAAAGAAAGAGGAAGATGGATTGGTACATGGTCTTTGGGAAACGAAATCAGCATGGCCACAGCACTGATACGTACTTGAATTGTTACTAATTATTTTCATAAGTTCTGGAACTGTTTGACTTTTGGAAGTTTGCAGTACTTGTTACAGGTTTTAATAGCTGATGAAATTTTTATGTCTTGTACATTTTAATTGATTGTGGGATTAAGTTTTGGAACTTTCGTTAAGCACGAGAAATATGCCAGTCATGTTGGCGTACTTAATACACTTTCGCTCCACATGACTCTCTGTGACCTTCTTTTTAAGGCCACGATATTAAATAAGTCGAAATGTTTGGGATCAATACATCATTCTTCTTTCACGACCTAATGATTATGTGTTTCATCACAAGGTTCTTGTTCTAAATGTGGCATAGAGGTCTTACTGATTCCTTACTCAAAAAAACCTTTTTCCTCGCTAAGTTATATGGATATGATTAAAAAATGACATTTGGCTGACAACTTATGGCACAGACCTCCTACACTAAGTTTCATCAGAATCCATTGCGTAGTATGAAAGATGAAACATTCACACAGACATCAGGACATGGCCCCTTCATTCGATAACTCTTCATGCAAAAGAATGCATATGAAGGTCTTCAAAGGCTGCTGTAACAATACCGATTAAAATTCCAAACACTTTCAAGAGATTTTCAATCAGTTGAAAAATGCAATAAATATGAGAAAAACCTACATTTCATGCAATTCCTCCCAACAAATGTTTCAGGTTTATGCCGAGGAAGCTATATCAGAAGACGACGACAACGATGATGATGATGATGACTACGACATAGACTACTCCTTGGAGGATAAGACACCTACCAGACTGACACATAGCAAGAAGAAACACTTGGACATCAGCGAGGTTAACCACAAGCACAACCACGAGAAGCAACAGCAAACCGCGGACCTTACGCCCGGACCAACTGGTATGAATGACGCAGTCCCTACAGCACTAAAATATGGCCAGACCATTGAGCTTCCTGAATAAATCATTGAATCAAATGACTTCTTTTTATTCCAAGGTCATCGATAGAATAAGCATAGCAAGCTGATGGCCTGCAATAAGATCAGGGACTCAGAACTAATTGAAGTAATTCTAAAAACCCAATAAAATTCCCTTCTTTTACTGTTATTCAAATTAAACCAGGACCAATGAACTGTTTTTTTTACTAAATTACATTTCTAACCTGCATTCACGCATAAGTCGTCCATGTACGATGCACAGCATTCATGTGGCCGACATCTTCGGCACAACTTCTAAGATCCGGAAACCTTCTTGAGTCACAGCCACAACAAGACATGATCTGAAACCAATATATAGCACTTGATGGAACTTCTACTAGATCATCTTCAGATTTCACAGATAAAGCCTCTGACATGTACAGATTTAGTCGGGGATTCGTATCACCGCACGGCCTCCACCTACAAAATATGGAAAAAGTCAGACAAATATCTGTGCCTTGAGTGAGAATACACCAAATCTTGATACCTAGAATATCTACAATGACTTTCGATCTCATTTAACACGGTGACTGTAGATCCCAAAGGTTCAACACCGCCAATACCAAAGTCTGTCATTGGACACTATCAAACACTAAACACCACAACTTCTTTATTTTTAAATATTACACTGAATATATAATATATATATAAATATTATACATGTTCTCTTAGACTAAAAGACCACAATTCATACAGGCAAAATTATTTTATTTATTTTCTAACAACTAAAAACTAAAAGTGTACAAAATGTCAGACATAACCTCAAAGTATCAACACTTGTTTTTCTACAAAACCGCTGGCACATTCTGTGAACAAAACTTTAAAAGTATGTCTTGTATGGAGCCACATGGGATGTCAAGGCCCATGTGAAAGGATAATATTAAAATTAAACACACAAAAATTAACTGTGGTGATAGTTTGAACTTCTGGGTTTGATAGTGACTGATCCTTCCACAGGACGATCAAAGAGGGAGATTCAGTCTTCAGGCTTGCCTGTCATTTCGGAGAGTTATGGTGCAGATTTCAAACACAACAGCAGCGAGGGGTTGAGACTCTATGAGTCCCTCATATCCAGTGGTGGCAAGAATGAACCAAAGGACACTTCCCTAGACTGGGGCAGTACTGAGAATCCCATAAAAAATTACCACAGGTAAGTTACTGCCTCATCTTCAAATATGATTACTAATTGCAGGATTCTAAACCAGTTTTACTTGAAGGTGCTGGAAAATAACAATACTAAATACAACGTAATCGCTGCCAGCATTTTACCAAATTTATTTGTAACAATTTCAACAAGCATTTATATAACTCTTTGTTTAAATTATGTACAGAGTAAGTCCACTGTGGACATCCAAGTCACAACATAAGAAATTTGTGGGGAACCCACAACACAGCGATGCACCGGTGCACAGACGACATCGGGATCGGTCACAGCAGAGCACTACGGGCGCGCCATCGCCCATCATCTCACGAGTATCACGGGTCATGCAAACAGATTCCAGTGACTCGCTGTTGCACCAGCCGCCACCAGCAGCACCACAACCACAGAGACTTCAACATCAACACAAACTACCCAACGAGGAGGTGGTGGTAAGAGTGTACCAGGTGCGCACTGCCGAGATGTATGCTGTCAGCTGCAGTAAGAAACCACAGTTATTTAGTCAGGTACCAGGGTTTGATCCCTGGTAATGTCATAAGAGGTTAGCACAGTGACATGCTTCTTTTCAGGAGGAACACTTCTCAAATCTTGACCAGATCATCAGCAATCCTCAGGCAGATCTTTAAAAAAAGCCACGGCTTCCTCATTTCAGGGCCTTCCCTTATTATTTGTGGCTGCAGTTTCAATTGCAAACAATCCTGTGTCTTTTTGGCTCATTCCTAATTATGCTTCTTACAGATCTCATTTCAAGTACCTGCAGTCTATTTATGTTTGTCATGATTCATGTCCAATTTTGAGCTGCACATGACAGTACTAGCATCAAATACATTTTATACAAAACAGTCTTCCTGTTAGTGACAGTTATTCATAATCTGTGGCTGAATGACTTTTGGCATACTTTTTATTTATTTTACTGCATGATAAAATTCTGCACTGTTCCATTCTGCTATTTAAACAGGAACAGCGAGCTTCGGAAGGAGCCAGAGTGTCGGGGCCAGGTGACACAGTTACTGCAGCGGGACACACTGGAAAGCCTCGCCTGCGTCGCAAGAAACACAGGCTGCAGAATAAGAACCTGGCACAACTCGAAGGACTTGACGATCATCCGGTGAGATCTGCCAGGCTCATAGCCGCGGCACACTATGATGGTGACACCTCAAATTATGAGCTGGGACACACTCATTACGAGGGTAAGTGTACTGGGCCAGGAATCTGACTTCCAAAACTTTTTAAAAGGCCAGCAAATCTAATGAGACTTGAGACGCTCACAGCGAAGATCCCACTGTTGGTCCTCTCGACTGAAACACTGAATGAACTTGCAAGCTGAGCAACCTTGGTGCTATTTGTACAATTAATGACGCTGCATCAACTGAGAAGTTGTTTAAATATATTGCTGTTGGCTGCAGATATCAGATACTAAAGGAGGGTGGAGCACTGAACGCTTCAGTGAAATGGTTAGTACTCCTGTTTTGTATTCAGGAGGTCCCGGGTTCAAACCTGACTGAGTCTTTTGTGGTTTTCCTCAGTCCCAAAAGGCAAATGACAGGATAGTACTTTACATCAGGCCATATGATTTCAAATATTATTTAGAAACTTCATACAAAATTTGTGGAAATGTTGAGATAAATGGTTGCATAAGTTAATTTAATTTCTGTACATTCAGCGCGAATTAATGTATCCTATTCAATGCAGGTAATGGGCGACTGAGACACCCAGATGGAAAGTTTACCGACTGGACAGCGACCGACTGGATGCAGCAGCTAGGCATGAACAGGTTCTTCCAGCTACAAGAAGGAACTGTCACTGTGAGAGACAGTGGAATCTACTACATATATGCTCAAGTACGCTATTTCCTGTTAACTACTCGAGCTACACATTTCACACCCTATAAGTCCACTACTTTGGGGGCAGTCACAGACTTGCCACCTCACAAAGAAGACAAAAACAGTTCACACTAATATATGTTGAAGTAATCCCACAAGAATTATGATGGCTATTACTGTCCGCATAATTACTATTCTTTCAGTTATGTGGCGTAGTATTACCCTTTTAGCAGTTAAAAATTTTCACATAGTTCAAAGAACACGTGATAACCTACATTTCCCTTTTAGCAGTTAAAAATTTTCACGTAGTTCAAAGAACACGTGATAACCTACAAAAGTTTCTGAAGAAATCATAATCTAAAACATATGTCCCATGCCAACAGATATACTACGTGGACGAGCACGATGTGAATGGTTTCCGTGTGTACAAGAACGACAGACCAGTCCTGCACTGCACTACTATGACAGTTCACTCATCTGCCGAACACAGACGGGCAAAATCGAACACGTGCCACACGAGTGCAGCTGTGTACCTAGCTCCAGGTGACAAGATCTCGGTACGGGACGTGGATGGAATGCGCTACTCACTCTTCGAGCCAGCAAAGAGTTTCTTTGGGCTGATCAAATTCGGTGACGCCAGGATCAAGTAGAAATATATAACCGTGTCCAAAGCACAAACTGTACAATTCCAGCACCGAATCACTCTAGATATTTAGAACTCGCGTCAGAGTTCAGGAAACACAATTATTGACTTTCTAGAGAAACTTTCAAACATGGGGTCTACAACAATTAAAGCGCGTGGAAAATTTATACGTCACGATACCAAAAGCCACTTCTTTAATGCAAAGGCCAAGGAGGATCAAATCTGATAATCCCAAATTTCTTTCAATTTTAAGAACATACAAAACTCTTGGAAATAATAAATAAGTCATGTTATATGATCAGTTATAATGTTTGTTACTTTGGTAAAGTGACTGATATGAACAAAAATGGCTGGCACGTAGAAAAAGAACAGAGATTTTCAATGGCGTCTGCTTCAGGCTTGAAGTAACTTAATACTTCACGTAACAATTTTTGAAGCTAAATGGCTTGCGACAGTATGTGACGGCAGATAAATAGAAACATCCAGAACACGGCTGCCATCATTCATGCTGGTCACTTTAGTACCACAGTCTCAATATAATTTATATGAAATATGCGAAAGACTTGTTATCTATTCTAAACAGACACAGATGCACACATATCGATGCTCTATGACATCTTGAAAAGTTTACTTAGTTGGGCAAGTGAAAAGGAATTTCCACTCTCTCTTGATATATTTTTAATGCTACTTACGCAACTTAACGTCGGACCATTAATATCAGTGAGCTGTTCCCCTACTAATATTTGTTCAAGACAATTTGATCTCAGGTGTAAACTTGTGAGATTTACACAAAAATATGCTTAGCTGTGTAAGTAATGTGGAATTTTATGATAAAACTAATAATAAATGCTTCTTATAAAGCACCTAATAAAAATATATCTGAAGTCCATTACTGTTTTTTTTTTTCTGAATTGAATACTGCACTTTGATTTTGGATTTTAAGCAAAATTATTCATAAGGTTCTATATATAAGAATTTGCATATGAGGGCAAACTTTACCCTATAAAATTTAATTTAAAAACTGTTTGTAGCCTTCAACCTGACCCCACCATTAATAAATAACAGTTTTCCACTAAAACAACCGTCTGATGGGCGATCTACAGCAACAATCAGGACATTTTAAAATCAAGAAAGATGGGAAAATGACCACAGTCATAAATACTTTGAAAATTAAAATACCTTTTATTTCAAGTCAGCTATGAGTATGGAATTTTGTTTGAAACTTCTGCAAAATGAGGTTAGTTTCTGTAATATTCCAGTACCTATATCCTCTTAAAATACTGGCTCATAAGTAAGATACAATTTGCAACCACTATACTCCTTCACAAGAAAAGTGTTTTATCCAAACAATAAAGAAAAAAATGTTGGTTTTATTCCTAATAAAACATGAATGTAAACCTCTTTACATTTAAATATATATTACCATCTTGCAGGCCTGCCCTGTGTGTCACTTCTGTAATGCCAACAAAACCAATGCAAGGTAAGACATGTAACATACTTTTTTTTTTAAAAGCACTTGCAGTAATTTGTGTGCGCAGTGCACATAATCACATTTTAAACTAAGATATGCAGCCCCACATTTTCATTCTCCAGTACTGAAAGGAAATCTCAGATTTAACTCATTGGGTTTTGATGCTGTGTAGACTCATATATAGGCACCTATCATTTTGCAGAAACTTGCTGTCTGCATCATCACAGATGAAGACTGCTAAATAGTGAGCTTAGCATTTGGCATATGGAGGTTATGTTTAAGTTTGACACTTCCCCATGTCCATTAAAAACTACAGCAACAGGAGTAGAAATTTACTTGCAGAAGTACATAAAATTTCTACAGAGTTCTCTAATTGGGAAACTTTTTAACGTGTACCATTATTCTAATTATATTCTTTTGGATGTTAAATACCACTTTCCTGTGTTCTGAATTTCCCCAAAAGATAACTACATATAACAAAATTGGAATGGAAAAAGATAGTAAACTTACTTGAAGTACCTATTTTCAAGAGTTCCTAACTTGGCCATTTTAGTCGCTGTACTGTTTTTAAAACGATTCAGTTCCAAAATAAGTCATCATTTTCTTCACCATCCCAACCTGAATCCACTTTCTCGTTTTCATTTTGATTAAAGTCTATTTGTTTGTCATAAACAAACTTAGGATCATCAGGTTTTATACAACTTTTATTAAAAGTCTTATCCATAATTTTCTTTTTCGTCTGCAATACATCGACTTCGAGTTTATTTAGATCTTCATTAGGCCCAACAGTAAATTCTTTGTTCACAATTTGCACTGCTTCTATAAGAACTGTACCTTTCATATGTTCCTGCAATAATCGCAGCATTTTCTCTATCTGGATGGTTGAAACAGAATACATTATTTTCTCATGCCTGAGTTTCAAATCTTGAGCCACAAAATTTACACTGGAACTAGTTCTAAAATTACGAATTGGCATTACGTGCTTCCGTAACTTATTTTTTTTAAATTTGTCTTCATACACCAAAATTAATGCAGGAGGAGAAAAACGAATACCACACTTTATTGGAACACAGTTTTTCTCGGTTACTTCCATTTCCTACTAATGTTTAGTACACTGTCAACCACATATCCCAGACAGCCAACATCGGCCACATATGAAGTACTGACTGAGGTTAGGTACATTATAACACATGCAATCATTACAACCTTCAGCATACATATAAAACCAAATCCTTAACAGAATGATAAATTCCAGCTGGCAGCACAATATACAGGATGGGTGGGAAGTAAGTAGGCATTGAGAAATGGTTATAAGCGATTATTTAATGCCTACTTACTTCCCACAAATGTTGTACATCTTAATACCATGCTGGGGGTAACTCATTGCTATAAGTTGGCAACATACGAACGTAGACGTCACACCTGTACTGTCCTGTCATCTATTAGCAACAGTAGTAAAACTACTACAAATACGATAGGGCGGTAACATTTAGATGAAAATTGTGGTAGCTCAGTTGGTAAAAACTTTCACTACCCTCCCATTCACAAAACAGCAGTAGCTAATTTTACAAATTATTATTTTTTATAATGGTAAATACTAAATTCACCCATATTCGTGAGGTGAAACACTTCTAACGCTATTACAAGTTTTCCTCTGTGAATACGCGTCATAAGCCTTTCTTAACCTAACCCAACTCAAGCCAACCTAGCTTACAATCGTCATCGATTTCTGTATGCAAAGCATTAAAAATTATTTAATGACTGGAATGATTTTAATAAAATTTGGCATGGTTGTTGAGTCCGTGGACAAAATTCAAAATTTTCAATGCCATTATTACTCATGCTCAGACGTTCACAATGGAATATGATAGGTAAATTCCTGGTTTAAATAAATTAAAACTGTATTGGATTAATACGATACGTAGTTAAGTTTTGTAACTTAACAATAATACCGAGGACTACTTTAATGACTGAAATTAAATAAAAGCGTTATTTTCTGAATATAAGAGTGAAAGCATAACTCTAATGAAAACACAAAATGTAGACTCCACCACCAAATGCGTGTAGTCAAAACGAATTTCTGCAAGTGACTACATACGTACACCAATCGTAGATAGGCCACGTTTGCCTCGATGCTTCAAAAGTCAGACACTCAGGCTCTGTAAATTGCAAATGACGTATTTGTTATTGAAGTACACAAATGTCATAAGAACTAACTTCCCCTGTAAGGGCACTACAACAGGTGAAGATTACTTACAAATGATAAGTAACATTATTCCGATTCGACCCTGGCACAGCTGGACACTTGTGTAAATATTTTACACACGTCGTCAGAGGAAATTTACAATGGGAAAACACTGTTCTTTTCAGGTTTACCTGTTAAACTAACACTTTTAAGTGACATATTTATTGGGTTATTTCTTTCTTGCTTATAAGACAGAGCAATCGGTTTTAATGTGTGGCAAAGTGGTATTCCATGTTTACGTGTAAGAATAATGAAGCTATTGTTTAACAGAGTACATATTTATCTTCCAGGAAAGTGGAGTACAATTTTATATTTACGACAACGAAAAGTGAGAACAGCAGGCCAAGGCTACTAGGAGGTGTAAAGTTTTTGAATAAGAAGAATAAGAATAAATGTAGTATAAATATGTGAAGACCGAAGAACCGGGAACTTTTGTCTCCAAGTACTGAAACGATTTACAGGTGAGTTGAGTTACTACAAGCTTCTACTGATACTTAAATGTCTGTTAACGAAAAGCTACGTGACTATATTCAGAACGTAAGTGAAAACTAGGCGTGACATTTCAAAGCTCTATCTAAAAGGTAATGCGTTTTTGTATTTGCTAGGTTAAACACGTCAAAGGATTTCCCCACAGTGTGTCAAAAATAGAATATTTACTTAATTTAAAGTAGCAGAACTTACCCAAAAATATTTATAATTTTTAAACTAAGCGAGACTGTCAGAAACGTTTACACCAACGTATAATTGATGCGTCTGATTGGGTAAATATTATATCCCGGTGTAGGAGATTTCAATCGTCACACAATGTAATTTTAATAACGCAAAATGCAACAATGTGAATTATTTATGAAAAATACAAACGTTTCATTTTTATTCCGAACGGTTTTTGACGATAGTGTTATATAATCTTCATTGTTGGGTTTTTGAACGTTATCGAAAAGTCATAAATTTTATAACATCAGACGATGGACAAATTCCAAAAACCCAACAATCAATATTTTTTTCTAAGTCATAGTAATTATCACGTAGTCCATTGTTGAAAAAAAAAGTTAGTATTAGCACACTTAATTTAACGTTCAATATAATATACTTTATTTATTCGTCCAAGACTTTACTAAATCTCGTAATACCCAGTGAGGATTGATCAAATTTGTTTTTCGATGTAACCTCAGTGTTCTGCGCAGACGCCAGCCACAATGAGAGCTATCAACGTCTGTCTTATTCTGATCATCGCGATGGCACACTCGTCTCTCGCCAAGAAATTCTCCAAGTGCCAACTATTGGCACAGCTGAGGCACCATAAGGTTCCAGAAAACGAATTAGCAACATGTGAGTTCAGTTTAATAGACCAATTGATTGATGCTTTATAGAGAGAATTATATAGAGAGAAAATGAAGAATTATTACTGAATGTTTAAGTACGTGGAACGTCAATATTATGTACCATTGTCGTGCCGTAGATTAAAGACATTATTTGGGACTAAACACAGTTTGCACACAACAATAAATGACCAAAGATTTTTTGTCAAATTGCCGTACAATACGGTGCTAAGCTTCAAAACCACACTTTTTTTTTAAATTCAGTAACGTGGCACAAACATAACAGAGCTTGACACTAAAATGCACTTTTTCGGACAGAAAATTATTTATGAGACTTTACAACTAACTGAAAAGGAAATTAATGGCCGACTGGAAATTACAATGACGATACAAGCTACGTGTCCTTGGGTAAGGCTTTTATGATAATACTTCGTTTTGTTCAGATCTGATATTCAAATGGCTAGAATGTCGATGTTGTTTCGTGGCGGGATGTCATGCCGTGCAGACTTGTACGTGGCTATCGACGTTTCGGAGAAACCACATACAAGTCTATGGCTCCATATCCCAGAAGAGAGCCTAGAACATCCTCATTTTCCATGGCATTTCAAAAAGAATTACCGAACACATTTTGCCTACGCATTGGTCTAGCGGTTAGAACGCTGGTCTTGTAATCCTGGGGTCTCGGGTTCGATTCCCGGCGGTGCCCGAATTTATAACTTGTGTTGGGCGAGGCCGTGGTCTAGGCAACACGGAGTTTTCCTCCGGGGGCTTCCCCGGTTTCTCCGTGGCATCCCAACAATTACTCCATTCACACACACACAGAAGAAGGCAATGGCAAACCACTTCTGGATCATCTGCCAAGAACGTATATGAACAGGTCCCAGTCCGAGAAAAAGGATGGAAGGATCCTGTTCATACGGACCTGTCGTCAGACAGAACACTAAATAAAAATAAAATAAATATGAATCTACTGATGCAGTACCAATCAACAGTAAGTAGTCTGCTGAAATCAGAAATAACTATTTTCTTTATATATTGTGAAACACACTCAGTATAATAAACTATTGTAAACAGAGTTGATACATAAACACTTGTACCAATTCTAAAGCTTGTTTCTGCAGGGTTGTGCATAGCTCAGCACGAGAGTGGTCTAAATTCAGCAGCAAGAAGCCCTAGGAACACGGACGGAAGTTACGACAACGGTATATTTCAGGTAAGCAATCCGTATAATCTACAACCAAGAGAAAAATTTACATTCTTCGACTTGAAGAACGTAAAATTATAGCTCTCATACTTTACGACAATCCTTGAGTTTCGACTGCACTCTACACATTATCGAGTCTACATCAATGCTCAATTCACGAGATGTATGGAGTCTATTTACATGCAGAGTTAAAGAAATCATCATCTGTGGTTCTACAACCCAGTGTGGGTCTTGGCCGTCTCTTTTAGAGATTACTTAATCTATTTTAGATATTTGGTAAAAAATCTCATTCAAAAAGGTGAAACAAAGAACGAAAAAATACTTTAGAAACTTTTGTGCGTCAAATTTCATTTATATTTTCAGATCAACAACAGATATTGGTGCAAAGACGTTGGTGTGGGTGGAGATTGTCATGTCAACTGTGCAGGTTAGTGATAAATATAAACACACAGACGTTTCTCTCTTAAGGAATAATGATATTTGAAAATAATAATCATTACTCGTACATTTAAACATTCCTCTATATCATAAATTGCAAAGAAACTTTCCCTTTTTTATATAATTTACTTAATAATAACACATGTATGTACATATAAAGTTTATCACTAAGCTGTGAATATTTACTGCAGTTTAAAAGTACCCAATCAACGAATAATTAAGAAATTTTTGGTGCAAGAATCATCAAAGTAAAAATAAATTATATTCCAGATCTCGCTGTATAAGACACGTGTTTATATGATACTATTCATGTCAATAACATTGGCCTTCGTATGACACGGCAATCCATATTGTACTATATAGGCCATAATTAGATTTGAGAAATAAATTTTTAGTAAATGTAACTCTGAATAGCAGATTTTATAGTCATCTCTTCGCCCAGAACGTAGCTGATATCTCATCACTTTGCTTACAGCTCTCAGAGACGATAACCTGGATGATGACATCAAATGTGCTGTTCATATTAAGAAAGTTCAGGGGTTTGGGGCTTGGAGCACTCTGAAATACTGCAAAAACAGCAGTGCCCTGCCCAAATGCTAAAGCGGACACCGCCATCTACTTGTGTGTTCGCACGAAGAGTGTCTCACTGTTTTGCATTTTATCCACAAAGCACGTCATACTTCGTTCTTTAACAGTGGTGAAGATGAAAGCGTCTATCTTCAAGTATCTAGCTAATAACTTACCTGGATCCAACTTCAAAACAACTTAGAAACATTTTTTTAAAAATATATTAATCTGTGAGATGAGATTTCAGGTTCTCACGGCGCCAAATATGAAGACAGATGACTGTCTTCTTGGTTGTTGCGCTGTGCAGTATGGTAGAAGTTTGCCGAGGCCTCAGAGGTACTTGCTGTCTTCATCATCAGGGTTCAGTACTGATCGTCCTGGTGACTGAGATAGCAAGCACGTCTGAAACGTCGGTAAACTTCTACCAGACAACACGGTTTAACAACCCGGAAGACAAGTCAATTCATTCACTTTCCTTTTTCTGATTGTTCGACCAATACCGATAAATTGAAGATAAATAGAAGTTAGGAACAGGTAAGTTCCAGGACATTCCACTGTGTGAACATAACATCTGGTTTGTCTACACGTTTTCGACAAAAGTTGTGTCATTAAATTACTGCATATTCCATAAAACATTTGCATTTTTATATTATTAAAACATAAAAAAATAAATTAAAAATACATACAACGTTGTTGCACCGTGTAGCATACTCCCTGCGTGCCAACGTTTCAAATATCAGGCCTGAAGATGGAAGCACTATTCTTCTCCGAAACGTTCGAACACAGCCCAAAAT